TTTAATCCAATAAAATAGCAACTTGTAATAAAATATCTTGTTTATCTTGTTTCAAATATGAATGCACCATAAACCTTATAAAAGCAAACGAACTAGCAGTTCAAGCCGCATGTACTACGGTTAATGTATGAGTTTAAGGCATGCTTGTGTCATGTCTGATATTATTATCGATAAAGATTTCATTCGTATTTTTTTTTATATATATATATATATATATTGGTTTTTTTATATATATATATATATATATATATATATATATATATATATATAATTACTGGTGTATATATATGCGTGGTGTATATATATATGTGTGTGTGCTCTTCCTTTCCTGTGGGTGTCGTAAGAGGCGACTAAGGAAAGGCGAGGGATGGACAGCAGCATCCCTCTTAAAACATCTCTAAAAGCTAACTGCAGTTGCCAACCCACCTGCCAACCCGCCTGCCAAGCATAGCAACTACTGGCAAAACTTCTTTTATGGGGAAGGCTTAAATCCAGCAGTGGATAGTTAACGACTAGAATAATAAAAAAATATACATAATGGTCGAGCTATGGGCATCAGCATCTTTCAAAATATCAGCAAAAGTCTAACTGCAATTGCGAACTGGCCTGTCAAGTGTAGAAATTATAACTAACACACGCTATTGGGGATACTTATGTTGACTTTAACGACTGACAAAATGATGATGATGAATATAATATAATTATATATACTGATGATGAGTAGAACCAAATAGTTACTGTCAGTAGCAAGAAATAGGTCAAATACATGAGAATTTGCGATACGTCAAGTTTATGGATTGAATGTCATGACGGGCCAATAGATTGCACAATACATATAATGATGCCGAGAGAATGGTTTCAGTTCTCCGTGTAGACTACATTTACACTACAGTGTACAGCTAATTTGAACTTCGCTCCTATAATAATAAGATCTAATATTGACACGTAATCATATTATATGCTACTTAGAAGACGTTTGTCAGTGTAAGTGAACCAATCAATGTGACCTAAGATTGTAATTGCATGTAATTGATGCAATGTTCTATTGCTGTATTCACGTCATTTAATTTATACTATCTTTTATATAATGCATCTAATAATAATCTAATAACATTTAGATTACAGTGATCATTGGATAGGTTTGTTTGCATCGTTGTTTTCTTTCTGCACAAACACTCAGTGATGAATGGCGATATATTTAAATTTCGAACGCATATTCACGTATGTATACAAACAAATTTTGTATCGTAAAGAAAAACGGCTTCAAAGAAATTAATATGCAATCAATACAGATGTAAATCCCACTGGTTACAAAAATAATTATCAGAATCGCTTCGAAATTGACGGTGTAGTCTGAATTTTTGTGGCTTTGAATGCCTTTAATGGTATTTTGTTTATAAGTAAAAAGTTTAGCATTCAAGTTATGGTCAGAAACGTCAATGATTATCATTTGTAGTTAGCAAACGTCGATTAATGGCATTCACTCAAAATTTTATTATCACATTTAAATTGTGTTTCATAGAAAAAACCGATTTCAATTGTGGCAAAATAGTTTTGATTTACAACTAAACTACAGAACCGCTTTTTATAAAAAAAATGGGACTAATCTGTAAGTATATCCTTTCAGACAAAAATGACGAGGTATTGAGATAACAAACAAAAAAAAAACAATAGAAAAACAATTGAGGACCTTCTGACGTTTGAAGTTGGTTAAAAGTAAACAGTGCAAGATACATTGATTAAACAAATAATTAACTCTAAACTTTGAATCCATTTTACAGTTAATGTATTAAGATCTACTACTTCAGTATATTATAAACCTAAAGCTATAAAGAATAAGAAATATTTTTTAGCTTAAACTAAAACAACGTTTAGTGTAAATGTGAGTATTAAAAATACACTTTTGCAAATATTCATGGGAAAGGAAAATAAAAGATTCTACGCGAGAGAAGCTTCAGGGGAATTTTGTCCTTCACACATTCAGATCGTGCAGTGAGCTCCTTGTCGATATTTTCCCTAGAGACTATACCATGAGGTCCTTTGAAAACGGGGTAATAAGGTCAGGTTAGGATTGGAAACGCCTTTGCTGTTGCAAGCGTTCATAGGCTTTGGGAAAAATCTCGTTACAAAAAAGTAATTACAAGTGTCTGATAACTTTTTCCCGTAAGTTCATATGGATAGGTAGATATGTACAGGATTTTCAGGAGTGTATAACTTTGAAAACTACATCTAGTTTGGTGCAATAGTTTTTGCACAATGACGTGACGAAAAAAATATTGGTTTGGCTAGTAATGCCAAAATCATTAAACTAAATTTCTAATGTAGCCATGTAGGTAGTATATTCATTTATTTTAACATTTATTATATAAGTAGGTAGGTATTATATGTATTTATAGTGTATGTATTTATGTAATATTTCATTATACATTTTAATATTTTATTTAACTGTATATTTGTTTATGTATTAATAGTTGTAGCACTTCAGCTGCCCGCTAACGAAATGCTTTCTTATTGTACTGGGTTGACTGGAAGAGATCTCTGTCAGAGATAAGTCCAGACTTGCTCACAACATTTATAAATACATTATTTTATATGTAACTTACAAGTGTAATAAAGAATATGTCAATGCCCTTAATAAGAACTCTCATGTCAATATTGCTTAAATATCTACTAACATATATACACAGACACTAGACTGTACAAAAACGTGTTTCTACCGTGAAGCAGCTGTGTTTTGGTTTGAAGCGTGAGATATGGCAGTGAAATTACAGAATACAGAGGAATAACACCTAAGTCTTCAGGAATGGCAGCGCATGGGGGGTATTATGGGTGAAACAGTACACTCTGTTATTTCCATGGTACTGTTCAACTTTATAGACGGTGGTTACCACTTTCCATCAAGTGGGACGTCAGCTTGTTTGCTATTCTAAGTTGCATAAAAGAAATACTCACAATATCTAGTTACAATTTGAATATATTATAATGATATAAATATAGATAAAAATTTTTTTTCACTACATATAAATTTAGATATAAATGAAATAGTTACGAAAACAATATATAATTTAATAGTGCAACAAAATGGTCTTGTCGATACAATCAATCTTTTGAATATAAACAATAGAGAAATAAAACTAAAGATCAAGGTATTTTAAAGTCAACAGACCGAATGACCTAAATCAACGTACTTTAAGGTCACATAGAGGGATCGAATGGACATAGGCCATTTTTTTATCCCAGTCATTGAATACATTCCGGTCACGTGAACAAAGTCGCGGGTAAAAGCTAGTAATTTATAAAATCAGAAGTCCACACAAGAACGATGCCCGGAAATTGTACAGCAAATCACATTTTCTGCAGTGACCATGCGGGGTTATCCTTTACCAACGTGACCCGACTCAACAACTGATCCGCAGAAGGTTATACAATTGCACATGTCATATAATTAACATTACTGTATACTGGGATTATCATATTTACCAGAGTGAGACTTTGTACAAAAGTCGATTGCTTGGGTACCTCTGTCCCATTCGTGTTTCAACCGTGAAGCAGTTGTGTTTGCATGGCTGTGTTTCGGTTTGAAGGGTGGTATATGGCGTGAATTTACTGGGTACAGAGGAATAACATCTGAGTCCTCAGGAATGGCAACGCATGGGGGGTATCATGAACGAAACGGTATACTCTGTTATGCCCATGGTACTGCTCATGTCTATAGGCGACGGTTACCACTTTCCATCAGGTGGGCCGTCAGCTTGTTTGCCATTCTAAGTTGTATAAAAAAAACATACTCATTTTACTAATTTATAATATTAGTAAGGATTTTATCGAAAACTCTTGAAATCTGTTTGTAACTTATAAGTTGTATACACAAAACAATTATATTTAAAGCAATATCTTCTGTATTCCTCACGGATATAAAATTGGCATGAATTTTAATCTTCTTGAGTAATAAATTACAAGAAATTTGCATTGTAAAGGTATTAAGTTTTATTCGGTTTTATACATTTAACTTTCTTGATTTATATAATTTAATTAGTAAAATTCTGATTATTGCAAAGTAGTATATATATTTTATTATTACCCCATCGCTGAACATAGGTCTCCTCCATAAGAATAGGTTTTGTCAGTAGTAACATAATATTATTAGTAAGTTATTAATGCTAAGTAATACAGAAGGTGATATAATTTATATTATTCCTATATTTTAAATCTAATATTTTTACGAAATAATATTTTAATCATTTTAATGTAAGAATAAAGAGATAATATGATGTCAAAATTTTTGAGGAATAAACATAAATAGTTATTTTCGTCGTGCTTTTGATCTACTTGAAAATATATGTATTAATATTATTAGAAAAAAAAAACACTTGCAAGACAACATAATAAGAGGGTATTACATTGAACAAAGCCTATTACATACTAAACGATTATTTGAATGACAAACGTGTATGGTGTTAGTCAATCATGTATGGGCTTTTATATGTGTGCGTATGAGCGGTCGTATGTGTGTGTATGCGTGTGTGCGTGTGTGCGTGAGTTCGTGTATGCGTGTGTGCGTGAGTGCCTGTGTTTGTTAACAGAGATTAAAAAGAGTAACTTTTATTTTGAAGTAATTTAGCAGAGTATTTATTGTAATACTTAGACACATTGTTCATATTTATATATTTATTAGTATATTTAAGTTATACAATTTATTAGAGGCGACATATTTCTTTTTTTACAATTACCAGACAGCAACCAGAGAGCGTCACTCTACATACATCAAACATAGACTAATAAAGTTGCCATATTAAGAAATGTGCGGATTGCTTTCTCAACAGTAACTGTTGAGTTTCTTGCGAGCTATTTGCAACAACCTTACTTATCAATCACAACCCTCGAAGGGTTGTTATTGATAAGTAGATTAAAAAAAAAATACAGTTTAAAAGTGCTTTTAAACAAGTATATTTGAATAAAAGTAATTTAATTATAATAATATTAACATTTCTTTGTTTCAGATTAATGTTAACATAAAATGTGAACAATCCAATCCAAGGATGTGCAGCCGGTTGCCGACGGTGCGATGGAAACAAAGTGACGGTGGAAAGTGAGCGGACAGTTGTGTAGCTAACCATCATTATGACGACGAAGATGTTGCTTTCGCTGCTGCTGCACTGCTTCTGTGTGGCTACCACCGCCTCTATACCTAGTGGAGGTAAGTGCCCTTTCTTAAAATGAGGGTAGATTTAGAAACTGCGAGCGCCATAACGACTTAACCAATATTTACACGGATTAGTATATATGTACTATATGGTATGTAGATGGATATTGACTAGTATTTATTCTGGCCAATTTGCAATTCACAAATCTTAGCCAAAAGGACGAAGCCAAGGATCTTCATCATCATACCAGCCTTTAACTGTCTGAACACTCACACAGTTAAAGCTCACAGCTGAACACAAGCCTCCCCATTAGGAGATCTTTCAATAGTTGCCATACTTGGCAGACGGATTGGCAACCGCAGTTAGGCGATGGGAAAGGGATTGTTAGTAATGGAGACTGAGAATCCCATTGCTAGCAATATACCCAACCAGGTCGACCTCCTCGTGGTTCCCCCTGGAAACTATCATGATTAATTCCAGATGAATTTATCATGATGGGCTAACTAGCCTGTTTTCATTCTCACCGATCACCCTTCACTGGTGCACCGCCAGCGTATCCCGTTAGCGCAGGCGAGGTTACCATTCCATTTTCATCCAATAAAAAAAAAACCGCAGTTAGGCTTTAGAGACGTTTAAAGAGTGAAGCTGCTGCCCATCCCTCGCTTTCCCTTAGTCGACTCCTACGACATTGCGGGCACGACGTGGCCGGTTGTACGGTGGTGAAAATCAGCAGCAATCAACTCGAACAATTCCTCAGAGCACTCCCCATGATAAATTCTAAGTACCAAGCTAGTACTTGTATAATTGTGATATTACAATAAACTCCTTCGTTCCCGTACTGCTATCTAAGTATACAATTGTAAATTAAAATATACGCGGCGATCGATAAATTCGCAATTACGCCTACAAGACATTCACAATGGATAACTCAAGAAAAAATACTTTTGATATGAAAATAACGGGCACGTAATAAAAAAATGTCCCCCGAAAGAGATTCTATCCAGGTGCTTTTATGTTCTTTCAAAACAGAATAAGTTATCTCTAGGCGAGACAGCCGAAATATTTTATTAATGGGCAGGTATTTTTTTTTTTTCCTTTAGTAAACGAAAGGAAGAAATGGTATTCGTAGAATACACACGGTACTGATGCTATCTCTATGGTAATATTTGGGTTTGTCTGCAAAAAAAAAAACATTTCTATATGTTACAATATATACTGGCTTGTACGTATGTGTGTGTGTACGTTTTGTTTATAAAATTTAGAATGTCATACAAGCTGACAGCTCACCTGATGTAAAGTGGTAACCGTCGCCTATAGACATAAGCAGTACCATGGACATAACAGAGTATACTGTTTCGCACATGATACCCCCCATGCGTTGCCATTCCGGAGGACTCAGATGTTATTCCTCTCTACCCAGTAAATTCACGCTAGTTTTAGAAGTTAAAAAACTAATAAACTATTTTAAGATGACGTATTACGGTAATCTAATAACTAATAAATCAGATTTTATGTTAGATATTCAGGAATGTAACTGTAAAAACCGCATCTATTTTGGTGCAGTAGTTTTTGGTTGTTGCCGGAATAAACATATAGGCATATATTTTACCAGAGGGAGACTTTGTACAAAAGTCGATTGCTTGGGTACCTCTGTCCCACTCGTGTTTCAACCGTGAAGCAGTTGTGTTTGCATGGCTGTGTTTCGGTTTGGCGTGAATTTACTGGGTACAGAGGAATAACACCTGAGTCCTCAGGAATGGCAACGCATGGGGGGTATCATTGGCGAAACAGTATACTCTGTTATGTCCATGGTACTGCTCATGTCTATAGGCGACGGTTACCACTTTCCATCAGGTGTGCCGTCAGCTTGTTTGCCATTCTAAGTTGTATAAAAAAAAAAAAAAAGACAGATAAACAGTCAGACAAAATTTCTAAAATTATTGTTATACCATCGATTGGTCTTACTACGATCCATCGTATATAGATAGATAGATACTCTTTATTGTTTCCTCCAAAAGATCACAATAGTAGGCTTATTATAGATACAAACAATTACAAGAAATAATCACAATGAGAAAACAATGGGCGACCTTATCGCTATATCTACATCCACACTAATATTATAAAGAGGAAATATTTGTATTTTTGTGTGTATGTATGTTTGTAATAAATAAACTCAAAAAAACTACTTTGCCTATTTCAAAAATTCTTTTACCATTAGAAAGCTACATTCACCTTGAGTAACATAGGCTATATTTATTTCTAGAAAAGATTAGGGATCCTTACTAAATATATATATATACGAGTATATATATATATATATACATTGTAACATATATTTATCATGGTTATTTATATGGTCATTATCATCGTCATATGTTATTCGTCCACTGCTGGACATAGGCCTCTCCCATAGTCTGCCATAAGGAACGGAAATACATTTGAGGTCATCACTTCGTCTAGTGGGGGGTTGTCCTACACAGCGTTTGTCCGTACGAGGTCGCCACTCAAGAACCTTTTTCCCCATCGATATATACTTACTATATTGGATAATAATCTAGATATAATTCTACATATCTGATAATACATACCCACAAAAGCATTGTTGAGCATGGAACCCTTCGCTCAAATTTACGCGCAGTACATTATCGATTTGCGAAATTTCAAACGACACAGGTGGCCAATCCCACATTTATCACTTGGGAGAAATATGAAAAAAAAAAAACCTCTGTATCAATCATGGGGAATCAATTGTGAACAGTGGAGTGTCCCCTGAAATCTCACACGAGTGGATGGGCACGAACGCACCTACCTACGGTCTCCATTCAGGATCACCCGATCGGAATAAATAGAATACGCGACTAGTGATTTCCGTGAATCGTATTTAGATGATTGATTTACGTCGTTTCACTATATTTAAAAATAATGATACTATCTACGTATATGAGTATTTTTTTTTATGAGTGAAAATGGTATGGTACCCCGCCTGCGCTTACGGGATACGCTGGTGGAGCACCAGTGAAGGGTGATAGATGAGAATGAAAACAGGCCAATTAGCCCATCACGATGAATTCATCAGGAATTAACCATGATAGTTTCCAGGGGGAACCGCGAGGAGGACGACCTGGTTGGGTATATTGCTAGCAATGGAATTCTCAGTCTCCATTACTAACAATCCCTTTCCACCCACGTATATGAGTATTGTGCCAGTTTCTTCATGAGGTGAGTCGACATAAATTACCCGATAATTACTGTAAAATAAACCGATTTACGCCATTCCACTGTTGAACATAGGCCTCCCCTTACCAGGAGTTTCGCCAGTAGATGCTATGCTTGGCAGGCAAGACAACTGCAGTCAGGCTTTGGAAAGAATTTAATGGTCGAGCGAATGGGAGCAGCCCATTCGCTCGACCATTAAATTCTCTTCTTACGACACCCAAAATAAAGGGGTAGCCCATTCTATGCTGCGACTACACGGCAATGGTTGTTTTATTGAAAGGTAAATTTTTGGTCGTTAGGCTTTTAGTGGTTTAAAGAGTGATGCTTCTGCCCATCCCTTGACTGTAAGCTCCCCTCCCTCAGTCGCCTCTTACGCCACCTACGGGAAAGGAACTGTTGGCCAATTCTATGCCGGGACCTACACAGCTATATGATTGATAACATGTTCAGTATTGATACCGAAGTTATTTTTTTTAGAACAAAATCTATTTACTTATTTTATTTAACACTTTATTGTACCAACATTACAGGATTTGTTGAGCAATTTTCGATAAGTATAGTGTAGTACAAAAGGCGGTCTTATTGCTAAGATTCCTTTAAGATAGAAGGAATTAAATAAAAAATGGGTAGGTGGCGCGTTAAAAAAAAACAGATCTGTAAAAATAATATGAAAATAATAAATATCTGTTAAGCACAATTATACACAAAGATATACATACATACGTGTACATATATCCTATTTAAGAGCTGCGCTCTTGTCGGTGGTGCTCTTGCCACTCACTACGATTTCACTCACAGCGAGTCTCTTCACCTCTTGTTACGACACGACGCCAACTCCTTCCTTGATCTGCCTGATGTAACTACTCGTATGCCTTGGTCTTCCTTCTCTACCTCTTTTCTTCTATCTTACCTTCTATTATAATGTTACTAAAATTTCATCCCAACCATCTGGACGAGTGGCGGTCCTCCACCGTGCGTTTTTCAAGGCACTTTCTTCCACGCACAACCACTCTTTGGAATGAACTTTCAGCAGCAGTATTTCCGAACCGATACGACAACATAACCTTCAAGAAAAGAGTATGTTCCTTTTTAAAAGGCCGGCAGCACAACTGCATTTTTAGTGTTCTGAGTGATCATGGGTGGCGATAGTCACCACCAGGTGAGCCGCATGCTCGTTTGCCCCCTGTGTTGTAAAAAAAAATGTTCGTCGTGTCGTATCAAGTGTCCCATTTATATATATATGTATATATATATATATATATATATATGTATATATATATATATATATATATATATATATATATATATATATATATATATATATATATGTATATATGTGTATATATGTGTATATATGTATGTATATATATATAAATGGGATATATATATAACATTTTTATATAACAGGGAGCAAACTAAATATAAGCACCCGCTAAACTAGAGAAACTGTAGGTGTGTTGCCAACATTTTAAGAAGTAGTAAGCTCTTCTCTTAAAAGTATCAATATCGTATCTTCTATTGTGAATTGGTGATATAATTTGGTTGGCAACAGTAATAGATGTCTAATAAATAGATATAGCAGTGTCGTGATCATTTCCGCCTCGAGTTCGCTACTCGAGACGTACTTTGTTAAAAGGGTTGTAACTCTGAAAATCAGTGGTTTCTCCTGGGACACTTTGGAAGATCAAAAGTGATGTATTATTCTTTTTTCGTTTCCTGTGTAGGGTTGCCAATTGTTCTTTTTCCAAGCTTTTATTTCACTTGTAGTAAGTGTTCATAAGTTTGTTGTTTTTGAATTTAAAACCTTGCATAAAAGAATATAAAGAATTGAAAA